AAAAATTAATAAAATTTATATTTTTAAATAAAAAATAATAAGATTTATATTTTTATCTGTATCATTTTCATGTCTCATTATTATTGATTGATGAAAGGGTACTGCTTTTAATTGGATTTGCTGTCAAATAATTAGAAAAAAAAAAAAAGAAACCATTCACTAACAATTTTATCTTTTAATAAATGTACAACATTAAAGAAATGAATGGATATGCACTAATTTACACCTTTCATCAACTAAAAATAGTTTTTTAGTTAATCATAAAAAAATGATTTAAACACTCTTTAGTTTACTATTTAGGTCAACACTCAATTAATTTAATAATTATAATATAATATAATATAATATAATATAAATAATGCAATCAATTCTTTTATATTATATGTATAATTATATTTTTAAATTTTTTTATTTTTAATAAAAATATTATAAAATGTGTTCTACCAAAAAGTGTTTCTCTTGGTGTCATAATCATAGTTAATTACTACCACGTGAAATTGTTAGACTCTCATTTTCCTTCTCTAAAATTCACTTCCTTCTACTCCCCCTTCTCTATAAATAAATCATCTTCAAGATAGCATGGGCACAGTTCAAACTTAGCAAGTATGGAAACACCTAAAAAGAATGTCTTCGTGAGCTCCCAATCAGTTATTAGTATTCAAGAGCTCCAGCAAGAGCCAATGAAAACACTCCCACAAAACTATGTTCTCTCAAAACAAGAACCTCCTACCCCACTCCCACATGCCAATCAACTCTTACCAACCATTGACATGAATCGATTTGCTTCCATGGAGGAATTCCATCTCGAACTACACAAGTTGCATTCTGCTTGCCAACACTGGGGTTTCTTTCAGGTTATTCCTCAAACACCTTTCAATCATGTTCAGAAAGTAAAAGAAAAAATTACTCCTAAAAGAAAGCAAATTTAATATTATTACTATTATTAGATAATATGTTTCTTTCCTACAGAAATAAATTAATGAGTAAAATATTGAATAAGATGAGAATTTACAAATTTTGTTGTGCAGTTGGTGAACCATGGCGTAAGCACTGCGCTGCTGGAAAAGCTGAAACATGAGATGGAAGGATTTTTTAAGCTTCCTTTGGAAGAGAAAATGAAGTACAAGATAAGGACAGGGGAGGTTGAAGGGTATGGTTCCGTAGCCAGACCTGGAACCATACCCGAAGGAAAGCTTGACTGGGCTGATAGGTTCTACATGATAACTAACCCGGTTCATAGGAGGAAGCCATACCTCTTCCCGGAGCTCCCTTCATCCTTAAGGTACGTACCCCAAGATTGTTGGTATTGCTTTTATAGATAATATCAATATACGAACTTTTAATCCAATTAATTTTATAACTACTTACAAACTGCCTTATTCATAGACTATAATATTGCTTTATATATATATATATATATATCATTTTTCTTTATCTTATATATTTGTAGGAGTACGTTGGACACCTACATGTTGGAATTGCAAAATCTTGGTATGGAACTCTTTGGGTTGATAGCAAAAGCTCTAAAAATAGAGGCAAAAGAGATGAAGGAGATTTTTGAAGATGGAATGCAGTCGGTGAGGTTGACACTCTACCCACCATGCCCACAGCCAGAGCTAGTGATCGGATTTACACCTCATTCTGACGCCACTGGCATCACCATCCTCAATCAAGTTAATGGAGTTGATGGTCTACAAATCAAAAGGGATGGAATATGGTATCCCGTTAGCTTTCTCCCAGATGCCCTTGTAGTCAATGTAGGAGACATTCTCGAGGTTTGACTCACACTTCCTTTAATAATTATTATTTAATAATGCATATGAGCATTTAGTCAAGCCATAATGTGAACCATGCTGTAAATGCATGTTCAATTATATTCACTGAGAAAACCTGGCTCTTGAAATCATTTTTCACTCATGATTTGTGTTTATTTCAGATACTGAGTAATGGCATATACAACAGCATCGAGCATAGGGCAGCAGTCAATTCAGAGAAAGAAAGAATGTCCATAGCCTTCTTCATAAACCCTAAATTTGAGGCAGAGGTGAGACCTTTACCAAGTCTGATAAATCAGCAAAACCCACCATTATATAAAAGAATGGGGATGGAGGAATATGTTAAAGGGTTCTTCTCCCGTAAACTCGATGGGAAAACCTACCTAAACCATATGAGGGTTGAACCCTAAATGTGGAGGGTTGAACCCTAAATGTGGCGGATTGAACATGAAGAAGCTACTATACTCTAAAATGGCCATAATCATGGAATCCCAAGTTAATTAGTAGTAAAATAAATGGCCGGTTTGTTCATACGTATATATGGTAATAGTATTGTGTTTGTGTTATATATATGTCCAGCTTATGCCATCTGGGATGTGTTCTATACCTTTGCAACATTATACATGAAAAAAAAAATGAAAATGGATTTCTTTTTTTTTTTTTTTTTTTGTCAATTTAACAAGCTCCATGGCATTATTACGAGCAAAAGGTTTGCAAGGTTCTCTCTATATGTAGTCTGTCTGTACATAACTCAGAATGTGGCATTACTGTAGTCTAACATGCCAATGGCAATTTTTTTGAATGACGAAGAAAATCCCTCTTCATGCCCCACTTGAAGCACAAAAGATTAAGGCAAAACTTAATATTAAGCCTTTAGACTTTCCCTATTTTCTCATATAAGTCCTCAAAGAAAAAAGTGGGTTGTAAACCCTTTAATATCCTAATCTTATCAAATAAACGCTTATGTTAATAATGACAATCACATGTCGTCATGTGAGTTATACAATCATTTTTTTTTTCAGCATTCTTTTACGCCCAGGTATTGATGTGGCAAAGTAATATCATGTGATAATTGTGATTGTTAATGTTAACACAAGGGTTGATTTGTTAAGATTGGGAAGTTTAGGGGCTTACATGCCACTTTTTTGTTCCTTTAAGGGCTTATGTGAGGAAATGGGAAAAATTCAAAGGCTTAACACTAGATTTTGCCAAGGATTAACTTCAGGGCTTGTTTGCTTAGTGGTAGTGATTATTCTTTGACTAAATTATACAAATAAATTAAAATTGGAAAAATTCACTAGGAAATTGGGAATTACTAAATCTTGCTATCTAAGTTTCCTTTTACATTTTTCCCCATTCATCTTGTATAGTTTAGTAGAAAGTTATCAATATTAAGATTTATATATTTCTAACTTCTAGAGCAATCTTATCAAATTTACTTTATTTTTATAATTTGAACAAAGAAAAAAAAAAAAAAAGCCACGATTACTAATTCCTAAGTATACCACTACCTAAAAAAATGACCTGAGTACATTGGCTCAGTGGCTACATGCCAATGAAAATTTAGCATACAAACAAATAATAAATAAGTGATGGTTATTGCTAATGGCAAGAATCCATCAATAAAGACATCTCAACTGATGGTGAAATATTATGCAATCTTAGTAGTTAAAGTGATTTTGTTACTAATATAAAAAGTTTTTAAACCTTCATCCTAATGACAAGGTTTCAAACTTGTGTTCCCCTCCCTACCTTCCTTCCCCTCACAAGTTTAAACCACCTACTTTTAGTACATTAAAACTACTGATAAGTGTTAAATTATCATTTCACTAATTACACATCTTATGCCATTTACTAGCAAACTTGCAAAGAATTAACAAAAAAATTGAGTTCTAATTATCCCTTACTAAACTCATACAATGGAGAATAATCATTCTACTTAGTACTACTAGATAAATGGGTATTAAAACCCAGTAAAAACATCCGTCACAAATACTTTATCCTAGAGGTGGTGAAAGGGAAAACTCTTCTCACTAAATGCTATATATTGTGTTCATTCAGTCATACTTCAAACTCTGTTTATATCAATAGCTCAATGATAGGGTGGCTTGCAAATTTGAGAAACAGAGAATGTTGCTAGCCTAGCCATCCATTTCTAGATATGCCTTAACATGAGGTAGAGATAGGACATTCATCTAGTCTTGTAAAACTAGAAGAAAATCCACAAGTTATTACTTTCTTTATGTGAAAGGCAAAACACAACAGTTATTATTATTGAGTACAATGTGTACTCTAACCGATATACATAATTAACTACAGTACCTATAGTCTCACTACACAGAACCCACAGTCAAGCACTAATGGTACGTAGATGAGGGTTGAGGAGCCAATCTGAAAAATATAAACTAAAAGCTTTCCCTCTATTTATCAAGCAATGGAAGGACCTTACTTGTACTAAGTCAAGTATCCTGTCTACATCTACCTCCTTGTGGTTAAACAAAATCTCATTCCAAGCAAGCCATAAAGACCAAGTCAAGTCAAACCGCACAACCTTCCACCCTATCCTTATTCATGTGGAAACTGCAATACTCTCATGGTAGACATAGACATCCCAAACATTACTAGCAAACACAGTTTGTGCTCCCCACAATTTAAGGCTTCTGCTCCAAATTTCTAAGGTGATCTTGCAAGTAAGAAACAAATGATCATCATCTTCTGCAAGTTCTCAGCAAAAACAGCATCCCAATTTTGCAACCTCGTTAATAACACCTCTCCTGAATAGATTGGTTTTTGTTGGCAATCTATTCAGAAGTAATTGTCAATTAAACCCACAAACCTTTGTAAGAATGATCAAATTCCATACCCTTTCAAAAACATTCTTATTACTCTCATCCAGTGTGGAAGCCAAAAAGGAATATTGAGCTTGTTGAGTAGCCACCATCCTTGTCATATTTCCATACCCTTTGTGCTTCCATCCTTGATACAGCTTGGCCGATTCCAACACCTTCTCCAGCTCCTCCTTTGCTTGCAAGTAGGGTACGCCTCCATGGTAATGTCTAGCACCATCTATCCTCCATCCAAGCTCCCATTTGCTTTATCTTATAATTCATACATGCAGAAGGCATATAAAGTCTTGGAAATTTATGAGCTAAAACACCTTCCTTACACCATAAGTCCCACCAGAAGCTCGTTTCCCCTTTTTCTGCCACTAGTAACTCAAACCCATTCGACAGCCACCCACTTTTATTTTCCTCCAACACACCTATCCTTCACACATCCTTCCACCAACTAGATCCTGTCCCTTTACCCTCCCTCATCCAAGACATCCAATTATCACTCCCTACACCATGTCTTTCCTTAATTAACCTAGCCCATAGCCCTTCCTCCCTCTTAGCAAGCTTTCCCCATCACTTGCCTAGAAAAGAAAGATTAAACAGACAAATATTCTTTACCCCTAAACCTCCCTCTTTTCCACTTTTATGTACCTTTTCCCAACTAACCCAATGCACTCTCCTCCCATCCTCACACCCACCCTAAAGAAAATCCCTCCTAATATTTTCAATGACTTTCACAACTTTTTTTGGTGTGAGGAAAATCCACAAGTTATTAAATTTAGCATTACAACAAAATCTCGTAGCGACCTCCACTTCAGTAGGATCAATAGGAAAAGAACAACGCCTATAAACTACATGAGGATTGAGCATGAAAAACAAAAACTACTAATGTATGATAAAATTCAATGCATTTACCATAGTTTGTGCAGTTTAGAAGCTTGATATATGGTATCAGTTCATGATCTTGATGTATGAGGTTAGGTAACCGCAAAAAATTAGTTGCAACAAGTAATCATTTTATAGAATTGCCAATCTAAAACTACAAGCTAGTGCTGTAACTTCACTTATGCAACTAAAATTGTATATATCTCAAAAGAACAATAGGGAAAGCAAAGCATAATTTGGAAAATAACCGGCAATAAAAAACCCCAAGAATTAAACAGACTATTTCCTCGTCTCAGCAACAAAGACACTCAGATCCGTGCACCAAGCACACTCCCTCGTGAATCTAAGCATTTAAATTCTCCAAATTAAGAAAATGAACAAAATCTAAATCAGAAGAAGAAGAGAACTTAAGCAAGCACGGGGCTACCGTACAACTGCCAGCTTTACTCTTCCTCTTATGACGCGACGCGGGACTGGAGGGAGAGAGTTTTACGTGTTTACCCCTGAAATTTGAAATAGGAGTAAATAATTAATTAATTACTCGGTCTGGGCTTGGGAATCACTGGGTGGCACGTGTACAGTTGCGGGTGACATCAGGTCGTTGGCTGGATGCCACGTTATGGCCACTAGCCTTCTCAGTATTTTTAATCTATAGCTAAAACAGAGAAGCCTATACAAACCACTACAAACAGAAACCTCAAGATCAAGAATTATGGGACTTATATATCCAGAACTCACATAAACACGCCCCCTCCATATATATATATATACATATATATGTATGTACACAGATACAGACACACACTACTGTATGGGTCTAATAGGCCGTGCTACATAACGCTGTTGGGTAATTGGAGAATTGGACGAATGTACTGGGCTTTGAGAATTGAGCAATAAGCCCAATACAGAAATTATAGTCCAATTAATCCTCAACAAACACCAAATCCTTTGTTTTTTTGTTTTTTTTTTTTAATGGAACAAATCCTTTGAATTTGACAGCACCGGTATTACAAAATGAATTCCGAGGGGATTTTTTTTTATTGTTCTTAGTTGTGTGTGTGTGTGTATATATATATATATATATTTTTTTTTTTTTTTCCGGTACATATGTCTTGACTTCTTTTATATCTTTAGCATCCTCCAGAACCATGACCTTTTTTTTTTTCTTTTATGTACGCTAATTTAAATGTATATTCCTTCTTTAATTAACTTATTTTTGATACTATGAAGTGGTGGATGAGTTAATAGAGGCTCTTTTAATTTAATTAAAGGTCCTGATTTCAAATTCTGAAAATACAGTTATGTTAAAATTCATGAAGAAAAATTTTGTCGCCTGTTGGATTTTATTCGGTTTGAATATAAATTAATTCAATGATTTAATAAATTTTCAGATACCGACTGATCTATACTTAAAAAAAAATTAAATTGTTTTTGGATTGTTCGATTACGTATATATTTTATTATTTATCCATTAAAATTATAATTATAGATAATTACTAGCCGCCAAACCAAATAAATGGAAATATTCATTTTCATCATCGACAACCGAGTCCTGCTGAGTGGAGGAGTGTTGGTCGCCTGTCGCAATTTTAAAAACGTGATTTTTGGAGTTAAATCAATTTCATTGTCAACCCCACGTGCCTTAATTAATCTGTCTAA